CATGGTCCCTCCAGGAGCTCTGATCAGGCACTTCCCTGCTCCTCATGTCTGCACACTCCAAGCAGGGACGTGCTGAATATTAGCATCTTTCTGAAGCTGCTTAATGTGTGAGGCTCTTTTTTAACCTCTTGGTATCCTGTCTGCACGTGGAATGCAGAGAAGTGTGGTTTTTATCCTTATTAATATAGAACTGACAAGTAAAGCATCACCTGTTGTAATGCAGGATGAATTTTGTACAGAGGGAAAATTCTGTGTCCTGCCCACTAAATGACAGGCACAAGCAGCTCCCTCTGTACATGTGATCACATCCCACTTTGTGCACATTGGAGCTTTTCAAACCTCCAGAGTTTTGTGTTTAGCAAAGCAGATGTGCAAATGGAGATCAGGGTGACCTCCCCTCTGAGAAGCAGGCCTTTGACACACATTACTCCCCTGCTGACAGCACCAGAAGTGTGGATCAGTTGGCATTTCACACCTGCAACTAATGTAGAAGTTGTAACAATATGAGTGAGCATTAGGGAGAGAAGGAATCCTTTGGACATAAACCAGCTATATTTAACAGGAAAGGCGCAAATCCACATTATGACTCAGGATATGTATTAGCTGCAGCCCTTCTATAACCTAGAAAGAAAGAATTATATCCAAGGGAACTTACCTCAAAGAGTTTCTCTTTCCTCAGGCAGAAGTGATGATTAGGCTAAAACTGGCCATTTGTTTTATCTGTGGGTCGGGAATAGACAATTTAGTCCTTGCAGCTTCAGCTATCTTGGCTCAAGATCCTGACCTACAATAAATACCTCTCCAATCAATAGAGCACTGAACCTGGAGCACAGCCAAGGACCTTTCCTGGCAACTTTGGCCTGGACTGAGCTGACCTGGTAAATCTGCAGCGTTTGGGGAGAGATCTCACTGAGGAGCCTGAGTTCTCCAAGTCTTCCAAGCCTTGGAAAATCTGTGCCTCCAGTTAGGCTGCTGGGGACAGGAATTACAACAGCTTTTCACATGCTATTTTCTTGGTGACAGATGCTCTGCACTGCTCCTTGGGGTGTTTGGACCTTCCTGATGCTGCAGCACTTATCCTACAACACTCATCACTGCTCAGGGCTCTCTTCACTGAAGCAGGTCTATCAATTGCAGAGCATTTGGGGTAGGATGTATTTGCTCCCCCATTTAGGAGTAGCAAATCTTGTTGGGTGGGTAGGATTCTACCGGCATGGTCTGGGAGCTCACCTCTGGCTGAGTTCTGGAGGTTTCTTTGGCAGTGCCTGAAGGTGGCTGCCCTGATCCCTCCCTACAGCCTGATGCTTTCTGCCTTTCTTCCTGCCTGAGAGACGTCCCAGCCGTGAATGAGCAGCTTCAGCTCCTCCTGCCAGGCTGGGGACACAGCAGCACATCTCTCCTTGAAAAATCAGGGTGCAACCCCCACCAAAAGGGGCCCCTGGGCAGTTACGTGACATTTCCTTGGGAAAGGAAACCGGTTTGTCACCTCTTGCTTAACGGTGTCACCTCAAGGCAGAGCTGAGGAGCACCTATGGGCACCAGAGATAAGGTTGCATTAGTAACACTATATTCATCTTGTTCTGAAGATCATGGAATCATAGGAAAGCTTGGGTTGAAAAAGACCTTCAAGATCACCTAGTTCCAAGACATTCTATTTTCCAGGCTCAAAATGTGATACAACATTAAAAATGTGGTGAGAGTCTCACTTACATAAATGTTAATTTATAGATTGTCCTACCAAAGAAAGTAAAGCATCTCTCCCAACTCGTCTTCCTTTCTCTTAGAAGATAGAACAGCTCCAAAGTAGATGAGAGCTGTCACCATCCATGACCTCTTGGGCTGAGAACTGTATGAAAACATAGAAAAGGTGTTCTTAATGCAGAATGACAAACTACAGATGAAATACGTGTGAATACTTTTGTGTAAGGTGATTGTATGTATGTACTCTGCAAAATGTATTTTAAATGTGGCTGAGAATAGTAGTGCACACAATTCAAAGTTACCAGGAATATTAAAACAGGTGGGAAGGGCATAGAAGAGACAAAGGAAATTGTAGATAAAGACAGGAAAAAGGGAAAGATGATAGATATGGAGACAGCTAAGAGGATGACAGGTGTGACAGGCAGGATGAGGTAGGACAAACCCAAATGGTTCATTAGATGGAAAAAAGCCTCTCTGGCATTGTACCTTTAGTTTGTTTTTCCACAGTGGTGTTACAGTTCTTTTTCTACTGCTGCTGCAAATGCAGCACTGAAGTTCTCCTGATTAGTTTTTCCCCGCTGTGTAAGATGTCCTTTATGCTGTGATGAGATCATTTGTGTATTAGTTCATTTTAATCTTTTCAGAAGGAATCCAGGAACTGCGATGAGGTCATGACTGCAGTAATGTCTAAAAGGATGGTTTTATAGAGGAGGGGAGGAATATTCCTCTCATTTAGCAAAACTGTAACAGAATTTGTGGCTCTCAAGTGTGTTGGAAGAGTTAAGGTTTGGGATTTTTTCTGTTGCATGTGTTTGCAAAGGACAGCCTGCTTCATACTCTTGTTTGTCCCTAAGTATTGCATAAATCTAGTAAAGTTTGCAGACAAAGCACCCTGTTGGAACTCCACCTGAATAATCCTCTAGCATCATCCCAACCCATGGCACCTCCAAGTTTTACAGTCAAGAGCAGGGTAAAAAAACCCAGACTCCTCTGATGGCCTGAGTGTCCTCACATCAGACCTTCTGTACCACTGAGAAGGCAGATGCCTCACTGAGAGCATCCTTGTTCCCATCTCAAGGAGAAAAATCCTTGGGGCATGCCCCAGGGCCATGGAATCACTGTTTAATATGACATATTTGTGCCTCATGGGTCAAGAGAGCAATGTCAGGCATGAATTTGGACCGTGACATTTCAGGCAACGACCCAAAAATAAAAGTGCCAAAATTTCACTGTTACTCTGATTTTCACCTCCAGTCTTTTCCACTCTCTGTGGGCGTGACAAGACTTAATGATATAATTCTGAAAGGTCTCTGGATGGATTTAGTACTGGAAAGAGACATGTAGACAGGTGGAATCACGTGCCTTGCTTTGCCATGGCCAATGTATTATATTTTAATGTATTATATTCTAATGAATTTTAAAATTATTCCCCAGCATGCATTGGTCAGAGGGGCTATCCTGAGTGTGCCTGGATATCTTCCAGGATATCTTCCTGGATCCTTCAGATCATTCCCTCTGGATCTGTTGGATCAACACCAGAGTGGTGATAACAAATACAGTGCTGCTTTAACTGCTTTCCCCCTCTTTGCTAAATGGATTTGTGCATACCAAGAGTTACGCTGCTCCTCTTTTAGCAACTTCAGGGCATTAGTCATGTGCTCAAAACCAGTTCCCCTCTTATATCTAGAGACCAAATGTCTTGGATGATCCATGGGACGCAGAAGACGCCACAGGCTTAGTTTTGCTCCAGGGGTTTGAGAGATTTAGTTACCCAGAGAGGAGTGGGAGATTAATGGTGCTCGTTGATGGTGACAGGGACCTGTGTGCTCCAAATCCCATCACAAGCAGAGAAGAACCCACCTCTGCACACTACTAATATGCATAACTATGGAAAGCCTTTTAAATAAAAAAGACTAATTAATAATGCTTAGTGGTCTAGGTGTCTAAGTATGAATTGTCAGGGATTTCTGCAGGCTCAGGGAGGTGGGGAAATGGGTTAACATTGCATTGTTTCAAATTACAGGGTTTTAGATTGTTTCAAACGAGAAGCAGAGAGGGTTTCCACGCCAGATTTGAGATGTTTGTTCTCTTTTATTTGTACTCAAATTTCGGCTTCAGCTCACATTGTCATTCTACCCAGGCTGCTTCCCAGACCAGCTAATTTGTCTACCTGTGTTCCATTTTAGGCCTTGGTTTTAATTTGAGGATGATTCCTGCTAATACCAAAGAGTGGATAGGACATCCATTAAAAGTCTACACAGCAATTGAAATGGAAAATTCCAAAAGAAACCCTATTAGAGTTTTTCTCCATCAAATCAACATTACAGACTTCTTATGCATTTCTTAATTAGACATTGATATTAACTGGACTGTTGCATGATTTAAATCTAGTTCTTAATCTCAGCTATTCTATGCTGCTGTAGTTTTTATGACATCCAACTAGCGACTGCTTTATGCATTAATCTATCTGGAAAACCACCTTCACATTTTTTTTGTCTTTTTTTAGAAGAATAAAGGCCCCAAGAAGGAAATGAAAGCTTTTGGGTTCAGCCATTAGTAATTTTCTGCTTAGTATTTGAAAAATTGCTTATTTTAATTGCTTCATAGAAGAAAAAGATATCAAAGCTAACGTTCTTTCTCTCCAAACTTTGTAATTATTTCTCTCAGACTCTTATTTGAAATGCCTTGAAAGGATTTTCATTGAAATGTAGATTTCTTCTCTTTCAAAAGTACTTTTATTCCCCTGTGCTTCTTTCCCTTTTTTTTTTTTTTTCCTATTGACTTCCTCTCTAGATTTAGAGCAAAAACATAGTCTCCAATGTCTGGACACTGCAGCATGTGTCACACAGATGTCCCCAAAGTGACATCTTCTTTAAACCTAACCTTCCCATGGCCTATAGACTGTGCTGACAATTTGCCTTAGGTCTTAGTCTGGTACCCTTGGGCTTCCTCCAGGGATAGCAAAGAAAAGTCATGGGTATTATAGGGGTTTGCTCTATCTACTCATTCTGAAAAGTATTGTGTGATTTGCTAATTAATATCACCACCAAAATTAGGAATCTAATGGAAAAATTCTGTAAATATGAATCAGGGTGTCAGTGAGCTGAAAGAAAGGCAGAGATAAGCCTTGTACAGTTTTGGGTTCTGTTTCCAGCAGTGTAAATCCTGAATATCCTAATCCAGAAGGGAATTTACTAACCAAACCTTGTAGTTAATTCTGCATTGTATTTAAATGTCAGTAGCACAAATCCTCAGGATCATGTTGGCCTCCACAGTAATCCTTGATACCAATACAGCAATAGTAGCAAGAAGTTCTTTATTTCACCTATACATTTTCAGAGAGCATTATTTACTAATAGATTATGATCTGGTCAAAGTGATCTATACATTCATTACATCTGGAGTGGGCTTTCATAACTCACAGGACCTAAGAATGAGGCAAAACTCACATTTGTTTATAGTGCTGCAGTTCTGCTCAGCAAGAAAAGGTGCAGAGAAAACACTGTCCTAAGCACTTGTGGTCTGCTCTGAGTCCCAGGTGATTTCTCATGCCAGCTCACAAATATCTTTAAGAGCCTCAGAAGAGTGGGGACGTGGCTGCCCCAGAGCCACCTCAAAATGCAGCTGTTCCTTTGCAAATCAGTCACCCCACAAGCCTCGTGCAGTCATGGCTGAGGTTATCTCCCAGGGGAAATCTGCCCAGTGGAACAAAACATTTTGAGAATAGAAGATGGAAATGAAGCTAAAGCATTCTCAATATCAGATTTTGCACACATTTTTTTGCAATAACACAGAGGGAAGAAAGAGAATAAGAAAATGAGTTAGAGGGAGATGGAGAGAGAGATGGTCTATTAAGCAAAGCTACATTTTTACTCTCTGAATTTACAGTCCTGATAGACATCTTTTTTCAAAATTACTCATTTTTTATATTCAGATACTACAGCTTTCAGTACTAGGTCCTAGATTTGTCTGGACAGATTACCCTCTTATTTCCACAGTGAAACTTAATTACCCTTTTTATGTCTTCAGATACTGCCAGTTATTTCCTGAACTGTTTCTGGGGACAGAGAGCAGCTGATGGGTCAGTCAGTAAAGTAAATACTGTGCATCCCTACTGTTTTTAAGGAAAAGCCCTTTGGCCCCAGGTCTTTTTAGAATATTTTGAGGGCTAGTACATATAATTTGCTCAGATCTACTTTTCTGAGCTTTTTTTCCTTTTTGTGACTAGGCAGAGACTCATTATTTTCTCACCACCTTTCTGTGTATTACTTGGAAGCATCTAAATGTGACTAACTCACCTGGAATCCGTAGAGGGATATTTGAATGCGTCATCTCTGAGACAAGAATAACTCCTCCTGAAATCCAGGGTGGAATTGACTGCATGGTTTCAAACACCCCTTCCTGTACCCCTGCTGTTGCAGCAAGAAGGAATGCATCCGAGTGCTTAGAGCCCAAATGAATAAATAAACTGGTTCAAAGCAATGGCAGGAGCACAGAGGGGTGTGGAAGTTGCTGGTATTGAGTGGTTACTGGATTTTAGGGACACTCCAGGTTTTATCTGTAAAGAAACCTATAACACATTATGCACTATCACTTCATTCTGAGCAGAGCTAACACAGAGCAGTCAACATGAAAATGTCACCTAAGATAACCCAGGACCTGCAAGTACTGAACAGAAAATTATAATGAGTATCCATTCAGACTTTGAGAGTTATTTTTTTAGCTTTTTTCTTTTTTAAAAAAAGTCTCAGTTGTTCAAATTAGAAAGTAAAGAAGTGTTACAACTAATTAAAATATAAATTGGCTAGAGAAAATCACCCAAATCATCAGGAAGTAGAGAGAGAGCACAACTGGGCATGTGTTATAGAATCCTTTTTGAATCAAATGCTAAATCCTCAAGGGCTGACCTGGCAAAATAACCTTAATAAATAAATAGAGCAGGTGTTGCTGTGGTACCCAGGTATGCTTTACTGGGTTGAACAAGTAGTGGTCAAATGCAGTTTAACTATGCTGGGATGAACAACAGAATTTGTATGGACTTTACCTATACCGTACACCCCGAATTAAACAAAATTTCTCTTACCCTGGCACAGTATTCACACTGCAGCCACATCTCTGCATGGAAGTTCCTTCTTCCAAGTCCAACTTGTGGCCCCAGCCTGAAAGCAGGAACCAGGATGGTTCAGTATCACTGAGTCTGTCATACCAAAACCAGAAATTAAGATGTCACTGAGGTATAAAACACAAGTTTCTCTGTCACACCCAACCTACATTTTCTCCAGATGAGCTCATCATACTCAGTTTCCACTATCCTCAGAGAACAGATAATCTGTTTCCTATAAATACAATAAAGAGTGCTTCAAATGACATGACACTTTTTCAATTCATCATTTCGGTGATTCAAAATAAGTGTGAAGGGAAAAGATGCTGAAAGCAACAAGCAGCAGGAGCCCAGGACTGAGGAGCTCAGGAGGCTGAGTCCCCATTTTTGCTGGATTTTGCTGGATTCTCCCATCTCAGACCTGTCACCTGAACCTTCAGCCTGGGTGCATTTACCTGCCCCCACAGGGTCCTGCAGCCCCATGTGCTGCACAATAAACTGGGTCCTGATCTCATCTCTGCCCTCACTCCCTGCAACTGGAAAAAGAGTGATAAAAAATAATAATAAGCCCAGAATAATTATGTATTGTCTTTGTAGTGAAGGCTGTGCCTCTCCTGCCTTGAGCATTGAGAGCTCTCCACTGGGAGAAGTCCCATTTAAAAAAATCTCCCTGGCATAAAAATGAATCGGATCCTGTTACATGAATGGCCTGTGTTTACTATTCTTTTCACTTACCTTCTAGTCGTTCATTTTCTGAGCTGACTTGTGCCTCTTCCTCTGCTGTCAGCAGGAATTGGGTAACAAGAACTTGCTGGAAATTGAGTGGTAAACAAATAAACAAACACAGAAAAGGACCTGCTGACTTGGCAGATGCACTATTACAACCATGATGTAAAACTATCAAACAACAAATGCAACTTCTGAATGTCTCATGACTCACATCACAAACAGAGAGGGGGGAAACTGAAAGAGGATTTTAATCAGTGATAATGAATTTGGAACAACGCTGGATTTTCAGATCATAGGAAAATCAGGAAAAGTCTGGGTTGAATTCTTGGTCTGAATCAAATATTCTTCTTCCTGTAGCCATCAATCACTACATCCATTATCTGTAAAAAGGCAGCACTTGGACTACCCCAATAGCAATGATCACTCTACTATAACCAAGAAAATCAGTCAGCATCTTTGCTCTAGGGAAAGGAAAATATTTGGACACTTCAGGAGTACTCATTTCTCCTCCCAAGAGCCCCAAACCTCTAAGTGTGTTACCAGGGCTCCTTGCTTCATCTGTTTCAATTTTGAAGCTCTTGGAAAAGGTAACAGTTCACAACTGCTGCAATGGTCTTGCCCCAGGGAGATGGACAAAGCAGCAGGGCAGAGGCAGACACACCACAAGGAACCTAACGGATGTTTTCTTGGGAAAAAGGGGAGATTAATTAAAGGGGAAAATCTGCTGGTCATTAAGTGTCCTGGAGCAACTATTGTAACACTGAAGCAGTGAGTTTCTGTGTGGCTTTAAGACATCTGCCCTGAGGAAACATTTGCAATTGAAACTGTGTCCTCTTTTTCCCAAGTCTCGGATTCCCATGGGCCAGCAGTTGCCTTGCTAAATGAAATGCTTCTTTAGGGAGACTGGCTGGCCCCAGGGATTGGTAATGCAATATAGAGCCTTTCATCTCTCACCCATGAACCCAAGTCAAACAGAGTTTGGTAAATGGCCAATAACCCCTACCATTCCAGGGCTGTTTGGTGACCTGTGCGAAATGAGGAGGGTCATCTCTGTGTCTGTTTACTAGAAGGCAAGTGTCAACTTCACCATAAAAAAGGACACAGTTACTTCTCATTATCACCCAATTTAACATTCTGAAGACAAGAGAATGAGCCTGGAAAACTCAGCCATCTTCTGACTCAACCATGGCGGTCCCAGTACATCAGGGCTTGAAGAACATTAATGAGGACAGTTGCATTGTAGCAAACCGGGCTGTGCCTCTCCTGCCAACAAGAAATCCAAGTCTGAGCTACTCTCAGCTGCATGTGATTACAGTCCTTCCCAGATCCACAGAGAAATCCACAGGACTCAGTCCAGTTTTTGGGTGCATCGGGCACTAAAGCACAACCATGAAGTTACAGATTGCTGCAGGCTTCCGCAAATCTGCATTTATGGTCTTAAATAGGCACAGGCAACTTGCACAGGGACCCAGAATCCAGCACTGAGAGAGTTAATGTGCTGAGAAGCCCTGCACTGAAAGGCTCTGTTCCCTCACCCATGGTGAATATAGTGTTCTGGTTACCAAAATAGATGTATTTGGAAGGGTTGAAGGCCAGAAGCTCACTGCAGTACCCACTCTTGCCCTATGCACTGCTCATTTTAAGGTCAGACCTTTAGCATCAGGAATCTGTTAGAAGAAAGAGGAATCGCTTTAAAAGTTGTTGCCACTCTGGGGATTACCCTGGAAGGTCTGAGAGGGTAAAGGAAAGGGCAGGGGCAGATAAACACTTGGCCACATGAAAAATCAGCTGCCCCTAAATTTCAATACATCTGCATAAACCTTCCAAAACTGCAGCCAGCTTGTTCTTCCTCACAGTGCTCCCAGTCACCAGTCTCATTTTGCAGCCCTTCTCATGCCACAGCAATGCTAACTCTGTCGTTGTCAGCTGAGTTACTGTTTAATCCCTCCTATCTTGATTAATTGCATTAAATTGGTATACCTATGTTAATTAAACAGAAGATGGCAGAGGCAGCTTTTACTTCTTGTTCTTTTGTGTAGATCATTTCCCAGGGCTTCACAGGTTGTGGAAAAATAACAATACAGGCACACCACACATCATATTTCAGCACAGCTGATAAAGCTATTTCACTCATACAGTGGTCCATGATTCTTTTTGCATATCACAGCACAGGTTTAATTACCACGCTGCTGCTGCATGGCAGCTCTTCTCGCTTTTCCTTTTTTTTATTTGTATTATTTGCAAGTCATAATCATGTTTTCCTGTCATCCCCGAGCAATGTGCATGCGTGCGTACAGGCAAATGCCAAGCTTGGAAAGGAAATTTGATGCGTGTCCATGAATTAGAGTTTTCAAACTTTGGCTGAAGATTAGTACATGTAAACATAGCTCTGCCCCCTTCATCTTGGATAATTGGTCACAAATGCTACTTGACACTTCTCAAATCAGACACTTTACATACTTCTGAGCATAGCTGAACTTTTTTGGCAGGAATTAATTTGCTTTGCAACTTAGCTGCTCATTCCTGGCCCAATCCCTGCTGCAGTGATTTCAGGGCAATGTTCTGCCCGTGTGAGGAGCACAGAGGCAGGACCGGATCTGTTTGCTAGCGCCGACGAGCCCGGCTTTGTTGAGTCCCTCAGAAAAACAATTACTGCAGCTAATGTTCTGCCCTTTGCCAGCCTTGATTAACACTGGGATTTTTACCTTCAGGCCCCTCTTTCTATTTCAATGACTGAGCAAGTTATAATGCATCAGGGGACATCTGAAAAGAACGGAGAAGGCGATGTAGCATCACCAGAAAATTCAACTTTTGACACACCAAGACCCTCCCACAGCTTTACCAGCTTTATGGGAGATGGTCACAGACACCATCCAAGGAAACTCTCTCACTTTTTTTCCTGCCCCCTCCTGCAAACAGGGCACGCTCCAGCAGAGAAGGGAAATCCATTTCTGGAGTAGTGATGGAGTTTGAAGCAGGCACAGAATTCCGTGCTATTAAAGAGCCCCCTGTTTGCTCTCACAGTTCAGGGTGTTTACTCACCCTGCACCAGCACTGAGAGAGCTGAGCAGACCATATGCTCACTTAGAAGGGCTGCCAGGTCTCAGGGAGCATTGCTGTGCCTATTCTAGCAGGGGTTTGGGGCAAGAACACATTCCATAATGGATTTCACTAGGAATATTGTATTTTATTTGTGACTTATTTCTGTCCAGTGTCTGGACTAAATGGCAAATTATAAGCATCTCCATGTAGATCTATGAATAACCAGTGGAAAATCTCATTTGCCCTTTATTCAGTGGGATGTTGATAAGCTGCAGCATATTAAAAATATTTGTCAGTTTGTTCTTCTCAACTATCAAGTGGGGTATGTGCCAGCATGCCCTCATCACATTGGCTGCTTCACCCAGAAAATGGAGAGAAAATGAAAAAAATGTCAGTTCTAGAAGAGGGTGACCATTTGCATGAGTTATTTTAGGATTATTGCCTTGCTTCTAACTAAAACTTAAATCTGTAAATTAGATTGAGCTCCTACCTGCAGAAGCAAAGGGTGGAACTTTGTGCTGTGCTTCAGGTGTAGAGAGAAGGAAATCCCTGGTGGTGCACTCGTGTTTCCTTGGTTCTCAGGGCTTCCTGCAGCTCAAAGCACTGATGAGGAGTAGCCAAGACAGAAACAGTCCCCACCTCTGGCCTCTGGTGCTTGTGCCATGAGCAAGAGCTGAGCCCAGGGCCAGGGAACCAGCTGCATCAGCCACCTCCCTGAGGGCTTGGTCCCCCTGCTTTCCAATCACAGTCTTGTGATGGTTCATCCCTAGAAAAGAAGGGTAGCTCCTGTTACCAGAAATATGGCAGATTCACTGTGCCCCAGAATTTGCCACGGAATAATTCAAAAAAAGACATGGCATGTTAGTATGTCTTGAGTTTTTCTAGATTCATACTATGAAATAAACAAATTGAGATGTATTTTGCTTCCTTCTGTTGAACTCTGGTGTTTGAATCATTGTGGGAGTGGTGGGTATGATATTTCTAGGTGAACAAGGCAACAATTGGCCAAGAGATACAGCACAGCTCTAAAGTCTGAACTAAGGAGGATGCTTGGTTTCCATTACTATTATCTATCACTATAAATTTAGCTTTCAGGTCCTAGACATTTTAAAATAACATGTCTAGTGTTGGAATAGGAGACTATCAGAAAAAGTGAATTACAGGTTACAGGCTTCCAGGATTTGCAGTAAAAGAACTATTACCGTAATTACACCTGTGGAGTACTCATTTATGTTGTTATTAGGGGAAAGGGATGGGAGAATTAGGATGTGTGGAAAGAAAACATTGCAGAAGGGGAGCTAAATAGTTTAGCTGGGACAAAGAACTATGATGGCTCCTGGTCATACTTGTGTTTTCAGCACATGAAATCACCATGTGCATGTGGACCTGAAATGTCCAGGGATTTAGGTGAAACCACCATAGATCACCAATATCTGGTACAAATGGAAACAAACCTCAGCTCCTAGATTGGGAGCTGCTGCCTTTTTGTACCATTGAACACCTCCATGGTCTCTGCTGGGTGCAAATGGGGATTGACCAAGCGACTCCATGAGCTCCATTCTTCAGAGACAAAAGTCCTTCCCCATCCTCAAAGAAGATCAAACCCGGATTCTTGAACATTTAAAATTAGACTAGAATAGGGAAAAACAAAATCTTTCTTTTCAGGGGAGAGGTGAATCTCCATTCTGTCTCCTTATTTTGTCAGGGCTGAGTGGCCATTATTGGTCCATAGGCACTTGCTGGTGTAAATCCACTGTGTCACCTCCTGGATGTCATTACTTAAAGTCAGCAAACTTGTGCTTCAGTGGCCGAAGATTTGCTTGCTTAATGCCTGGTTTCATCAACAAATTCAGGCTGGCAATGACATCCTACTTGTCTGAGCTAATATACAGCCTTGCACTGTCCTTGTTTCCCTTCCCATTCAAACTTATGGCTCAGTGGTAGTGTCTACCAAAAACCAACATTACAGCTGAAGAGAATCAAGTGATGAATGAGCATGAGGTTTGCATGTAGGTAATTAGAAGTCCGGCTGGGTAGATCACATTATTTAATGTATCATCATTATGTTTGTATTTAAAAAGCATTTAAAATGTATTATTTCTTCTATTACTCCATCTCTTCAGTGCTCTGACGCCAGAGAAGAATCATGCTGTGTTTTTTGGTAGAGATTTGTTTTCTAAAACATGATGGAACCATGTGGATCATTGCTGTAATAAGTAAGTTGTCCCTACTTGAGGAAACTCTTGTGTCAAGAGTAAAATCCTCATTTGGCTGTGCTGCAAGAAGCAGGATAATATTTAATTATGACAGCTGAAACTCATCTCCAAGTGCAGACAATATTGATTTGTTCTAATATAGAAAAGGTGGAATTAAAAAGCTGGTTTATTTAGAAATTTACGTATTCCTAAAAGTGTCTGTTCAGCTCATTTTTAAATTTGATTTCTTATCCCAAGTGAATTACACTGCATTTCTGAATCTCAAGAACTGCCTGTGCCTGATAATAGCTGATCGAAGTACCAGCATAATGTAGTTGTTTTGATTGTAAGATTTTTGTTTGCTTCTTTATTGGACAAAGGTGTTTGCAAAAGAGAGGTGAAGAGCACCAGATATGGAATTACAGCCCACAGTTGGTGCATGAGACTTAATATTAGGATAGGACCACGGTCTATAAGGTCAGTGGCAAATGATACCAAGCTAGCAGGCAAAATCAATGCCTGGTTCTGAAAAAAAAAACCAGCAAGGAGAATCTGTGCCAGCATCCCAGCATGACAAATGAACTTGGGCAAGTTGAAGATAATCATGATTATTTAATATTCCACAGCTTTACAACTTGATACTCTGTGGACAAAAGATCAGAAGTCTGCTGAATCCAAAGTTTTGAATCTTTGGGTCAATATGCTTCTCATGTCTTCAACATTGTTTAATTTAGGAGGAAACAGTTCTGAGCTAAGATAAGATCTCAGACAAAATTGACGTGGACTCACAACATGGCCTAACATAACAATTTAATCTATCCTGTGCTTCCCCTGAAAGAAAGCTTAATAACTATGGTATGATTTCACCTGCTGCTTCTAACATTTGCTCATTCTTTTTTCCTGAGCAAATTTGGATTATCAGATGGCGAGCAGCTTTGTTCATGGTAGACAAACTTGAATTCATTTAGGATTAATAACAATAGGTTCAATCTTGGATTCAATGGCAGTTCTTAATGAATGGAGTCTTTGGAAGATAAATGTTTGTTTGTGTGAAAAGAGAAATAATTAATTCTCCATTTTTCTGGGTATGAGGTGATTATAGTGCATATCACAAAATGTTTTCCCTGTGTTTCCAGCCCTGGGTATAAGAACTGCAGGAATGTTCCCCAAGCCCCAGCATTGCAGATATGAGCCTTTTTGACCTTGTCATTTCAAAACCTGAAGTTTTGCAATGAATTGTTTGTGTGAGAAAAAAAATGTATCTCTTACTCACAGTACTCTCAGGTCCTCCTGGTGATCTGATGCAGGGCAGCGAGAGGGAGGGAGGAAGGTCCACGTCGCTGCGATCCATCAGCAGCCGTGGGTCAGCACAGGGTCACTTGGATGAAGGAATCAAGGCTGCATCTGGATTTTGACCCAATCCTCACCATTGTCTTAGACATGGGCATCTTCCAAAATTCCTGTGGGAAATCCCACATTCTTCACTGCTGTCCCTGTCTCTTGGGAAGCAGCCGGAGCCCACCGTGCCCGGCCAGGAGAGGCTGTGCTGCCCAGCACCCGGTACCCACTGACCTCAGGAGGAATTAACAGGCTTCAGCAAACGTACCCTGCAGGCAATTTTACCCTGCAAAAACATCACCCACATTGCTAGAGTTTAGGACAACAAATTAGAGCTTTTAATATGCACTGGCCGCTTTTTTTTTTTCACCCCCCCATCCCCACACCACCACCATCCCCCCTCCCAGCCCAGTAACATCCAGTTGCTTAATTCCATTTGAAATCACCCGGGTTAGGCACCTAAATAATCTTGTCCTTCATGCCTGTCAACATCTTGAGGCACCTAACCACCTTTAGAGATGTGGTGTGAAAGCTTGTGAACGATGCAATCGAGGAGGGAAACAAAAGACAAGTATCCCTATTTGCTGCCCAAGAATCCACAAAGAATGCTGCTTCAGCTCTGCTCTGATTTCTAATTAGATTATGAGTGATGTAGGACTCTGAAGCCAAGCTGGAGTTTGTGCTAGCACTTTGCATGTATGAATGACAAAGGGACACCACTTTCATATTGATTTAAGCAAGCCAGTGGAAGAATGTTTAAACATCAAGTGCTTGATGTCCCAGTTTGCCAGAGCACCTGGAAATATCAAATTAATTCCAGGTGTTCTGCCATTAAGACGGGCTTGCTGCTTTTACAACCACACATACAAAATGTGGCTCCCAGTTCCACAAATAAAAACGGAATGGTTTCTGCTCCTAATGCCTCGATAACTCCGACATATTGCAAGTTCTGGAAAGAATTTTAATCTACATAGTTTTTTTTTTTAATGGGGAGGGGAGCGAGGGGGGAAAGATTTTAAATATGCTGCATACAATTTGTGATGGTCATCTCTAAAATGCAGCTCCATTATCCTTTTCCATTTGGAATGAATGAGGCTAATTAATTTCAGGCCATACTTGATGAGGTCAGCACCATACGAAGGGTGCGTGCTAGACATTGCTAATCTCTTTCAGCTGAGAGTGATGAATTAAAGATGAAGCATTCCTTTGCAGGCCTAATTTAGAATGTATATCAAAAACCTACAGCAAATAATACTATACCCTACAACAAAGGAAAACTTGTTCTCTCAGGCTCCCATGTAGGGTTGATTTTAAAGGCATTTTCATTTCGCTTTGGAATTCCAGCTGTGGATGGGTGAAACAGTTCAGAAAATTCAAGCTTTCTCTCTTTCTATTGCTTTTATGGACAAAAGTAGGCAAGGGGGGGCTAAGGGGAGAGAGAAACTGGTCCGTGTTTGATCCTGTATGTCCTGTGATTCTGACTGTACGCTCGGCATTTAGGAAACCAAGTACCTGTGACGTGACACCCCCCAGGGCCACACTCACATCTTGCTGTTGGGGATTTCTAAGTCAGAGGGGAAAGCAGTCAAGGGTCCCCTTTGGTTCAGCATCATCCCATGCTGGACGTTGCAGGCAGTTCTGCTGGGTCACTCAACAAGGACAGGAGCTTCCAAGCCCTCACAGAGCTGTCATTCTCCCTAGGGATAAACACCTCCCCATGCAAAAAGGTCCCATCACATCTAGAAGTGCAGATAGCAAAACGGAATGGAACAAATCACTGCGAAAACAACCAGGTCTGGGAGCAGGACAAATGGCTACACAGCTCCCAAACTTGGCTGGAGTTGAGGCTCAGCCAAGCTTTGCCACCTTTCCCTCAAGGCAAAGCCACCCACAAAGTCCATAGGGGTTTCCCCCGAGCGAGGGGCTGCAGGATTTATCCCTGTGGGCAGCAAGAAGCTGAATTGTCATTTTGGTAAAATATGAAATCATAACCCAGCCTCAGAAGGAGGCTGCAAACAATAGACCAGCATCCTCCCCAGCACTTCTCTGCTCAATACCTGGCAGTTCCTTGGAATTCTTGACAGGTTGCTGCAGCGAGTGGAAGTTCCCAACTGGTGGCCATAAGCGGCTGCCGTCTTTGTATCCCAGTAGTCCTCATTAGAACAAAGCTGCTTCGAATTAAATCCAATCTACATGCCGAATCAATCTTTCAACCCTTTGATTGCTTCTGAAAATATTTATACTTCTTAATAATGCACATTTTGTCCCAAAGCCTGTGATTAAACCCAGACAAGGTCCGGAGAAGCCTGAAGTATATGTGGAAGGGGTTATTTTGGACAGGAAAAGAAAGATAAAGACACAGGTTTTTCCTATTGTGAAATCATTAGAGTGTATAAATCTAGCAATTGCAGTTGTATAAGCATCAGAGTGGGGTTGTAATAAATACAGATTGGAGTATTATAGTAACCAAATGGAGTTTATGGATTATGTTCACTAGTTCATATTTCTCAGCTACTACAACCTAACTAGCGTCATGCTGCACTCACCTCTGTTAATATTCCCTATTAATATTCTCTTTACGTGTTTGTGGGGGGAAAAAAAAAGTTAGGATTCAACTGCTGCTCTGTGTAAAACAAATATGTTTAAAGAATCATGCCCTCCAAAGAAAAAAAATAAACACGGGGATGCTGCAAAGCGACCGTGTTCGAAGGGCACAGGCTGTGGCTGGCTGAAATCGCCCTGTTCTGCTGAAAGTTAATAACTTCCATCTGAGTGGGATCTGCTCCTAATGCAGGGCATTTGCTGTGTGAAAATTGGGGTGTAAAAACGAGGAAAATAACTTCTGCTATCCCTTAACCTGGTGGATTTTTAGGGTGGTAAATAATAAGCTTTCGCTGGAGATGAGAAATGCACAAAGGCTTTGAAACTGGGCTGTGTGGTAAACAGTGTGTTATTCCCTGCTCAAAAAGCAACACGCATCACAGGTGAGACATGAGGAGATGAAGGGAAGGAAACATTCCTTGGCTAAGAAGTAACCCAGACAGGGCCAGATCCTCCAGAGTGGGGATCTGCCGTCGATTAGGAAGGTGCTGGTGGCTGGGGACGCAGATCAGATAAAGGCTCTGTACCTGTCTCCCTCCCTAAACACAAATGACTGCCCTTGTCTCTAAAAAAAGGGAAAAATTGACTTTGGAAAACACACCATGATAAATCTCCTTGGATAAAGTATGCAGTGTCTGGGGAAGAGGGAAAGAAATCCTAGAAACTAAAAGTATGTAATGCTTATTTAATATCATTATCATCAGCAGCATCAGATGGCAAATGCAGGTAATATTCTTCCAGAGTGGGCTGATAAATGCTTGTGGTAGTTTTGCTTGTGACAGTTTCCCCTTTCATAAAGGAGAGAAAGAAATATTCTCAGCTAAAATATTATTCATTGACTCTTTCATCACATAGTTCATTATATTAAGTTGTTATTTCCTAAATATGTTAGGGGGTGGTAATATTATTATACATATATCCTGAGTCATGATGGCTGTTTTGCATTAATGTATGATTTGGATGCTCAGTCTTTAAGGTAGAGAGAAGGGGTGTGTTTATCATGACCATAAATAAGGGGAGAGCAGGGATTGTAAAAAACCTCTCATAAACAGGGATGGATCCAAAATCTAATGACACACATGAAAATCCATTTTGGATCAGACCCCCATCAGAACTCTGTATTATATAACCAGCATTTTCTGAGTATCTTCTATTGTTTGACAGCCCTGATTTCACACTGAACTTGGAGTTCATTTCTGAGCAGAGGCTTTTTGTATAGAAACTTTTAATCATATCTCTTTGTGAACACACACATACCATCGAGGATATTGTCTTATTAAAGAGTTTAAGCCTAAAGGTGTATGCCTACTTTTAAAAGAAATTTTCTGATTGCAGATAACTGCTCAATTTGATTTAGTGTCCAATGATAGTGATGGGGTTGATAACTGAGCATTCATCGGTAATTCATCTTGTGCTAGTAGAAATTTACAGCAAAGCAGTGCTTTCCCAACACTGACAAGTCCTATTAATCTTCTTCAGACACATTTCAATAGGTGTCTCCATCTGTGCCCAACATCTAAACACTCTGGCATCACTGGGGACTTGGAGACACCTTCATTTCAGGTTACACTAGTGAAAATGTGATACTAGATTGTACTCTATTTTTAACCTAATTCTCTCTTTTCATTCAATTAGCCTTTCTTGCCTGCATTTTTCTACTCATGTGTAACATCCTTTTCCCAGGAATAGCTTAAAAATGAGATTTAGTTACTTAAAGAGACAGAATCTGCCAGGGCAAGAGCAACCAAGAGCTTAGTACAGAAAAGCAGAATAACAAAGCTCAGGGACACAGCATGGAGACCGAATTGCCACTCACCAAACATGTCCCGAGCAGCATTCCCACAATATTCCCCTCCTGATGCACCTCTTGCAGGCACCACAGGGTTAGACAGGTCTGAAACTAGAACTGAAAACAATTGCAGGATGTTTGGGTGTTGAAATCCCAAAGAGCTCTGTTTGTTCGTGCTGCATGGGGATCCCCACCATCCATCCCCACTTCGCTTTACATATACAACTAATGCATGAACAAACACAGCGCAGTCAAATTACAGCAATAACATTTATGGGTGGATTATGTTCCAACTTCCTCACTTATTATTAAAAGCGAGTAAATTGCGAAGCACATGGAAGAGGTAGGGTGCAAATGCAGGCGAATTTCCACTCTGAACCAAATGTTGTTTTTTCACTTTCAAAGCTGCGATGAGTTTGCGAGCAGACGCAGCACAGCTTTAAAGCTTACTCATTCAAAAATGTGTGTTTGGGTTCCTCTTTTTTTTTTTTTTTTTTTTTTCTCTCCCCTCCTAACTCCATTTACGTTTTGCCTTTCAAAGAGGAGCAGATGCACACCATTTGGGTTTGGGTGGCTCCTACTTGCTCTGAACTTTCTTCTGAAAAGAGCAAACCGTGAGCCGTGCGTCTGCTCCGCGCCTCAGAGGCAGTCTCAAACTTTGTTTCTGGCTTTATGAAGTTCTCTCGTGAGTCGTATTATAGATCTAAATGACCTTATTGTAGGTGGCAAGTTTAAATGTGCCATATTAATAACTTGTTATCCAAGACAAATTAAGTCCTTATGTGTCAAAAGCACTCTGTTCTGGATTACCTACAAGACAAGTATTTATTGAATAAACGTTGGATCCAATTTCATTTTAATGTGACTGACTGTATGCTGCAGCCCCTTAGAACGAGATAAAAACACTCAAACCTACAACTGTGTTGCAACATTACACCTAACTTGTCTATTTCTATTATTGTCTTTTTAACATGGGATCTCAAAAGTGTTTGGGGGGGTTTAAGGATTTATTATTATTATTGTTGTTATTATTTTTTCTGAAGAGCAAGGAGAGAGATAGAAAAAAAGACTGGCATTCAGCCTAAAGAGAAATCATTGAAACAAATTAATCCTATGCCGTTTAAATTGACATGGTAATCCATCATCAGCAAAGGGAAACTCTGAAAGCAATCTAGAATCTGCAGTGTTCTTTCACTGGCCCTCAGGCACAAAGACAGATAGTAAAAGAGGAAGGGGGGAAAAAATCATAAAAGTTAGCAGCACCTTAGCATAGGGAAGGGCTAGAGAAAGCAGCTTTCACTTTTTCCTGTTTTCAAGCAGCCAGCTCAGAAAGCAGCGCCGATTAACCCTCAGTCACTGCCTGCTAAGGTTTGCTTGTGTGTCAGATCATCTTCAGCTGCTGGGATAGGAGTCATTTCAAATAGTGCAGAGCCCCCGTCCTGTATAAACTCCACCATTGAAAACTCTGCCAAACATCAACTTGGGCATTTCTGCTTACAGAGGGCCTTTTATTAGCCTAAACTTGATCATTCCAAATGGACAATAAATTCTATCTGCAGAGCCCTGCAGAAAATAGCTGTACTATCCTTGGGAGTTTAATAGCCAGGATTTTCATAGAGCTAGCATGAAAAAAACTGGGGGGGTTTATTTGGGTTTGGACTCAGGGTATTTTTTTGTCTATCCCTTGCTTTCTCAGTGGGGCTATCCACCATAATTTATGTTTCCCAAGAGATTTTTCAAACTAGTTTTAAATATCTAAAGTGATGAGACTTTGTGCACCTTTAAAATTTTATTAGACTTACGGTCAGAAGAAAACATAAACCTCTTGGGCCTTGAAAGCCCATTGCAATACAGCTATTATCCCTATAATGTCAACAGAGCTACAAAATTCTCTAGAAATAAACCTTTTAAGAACAGCTTTCCCTGCCTCATGTTTTCTTTTAAGGTCAGTGGTGCATCACTTTTTTGGAAAGCGTTTCCCCTCTCTGGCCAGGTTTAGCAATGTGAAATAGAATGTATATTACTAAATGAATAGGTTTAATTTTAGACACTGAAAAAATAAATAGAAGAAGAGAGCCAGGGCAGGAATAATACCTTTCAGTTAGAAACAGACATAGTAGAAAGAAAAAGTCAGAACTTTAGTGCCAGGGGCAAAGGGGTGAAAGGCTGGCTAATATGAACCATATCCAACATCTGCCCTATTTTAATTTAGCAGGGATAAAGTTTCTTCTTTTTTATTATTAAGAAAACTTTATGTGGCAGAGAAACCCATGAGCTATGTTATCAAAACTGTTTTATTGTCACACTGAAAGTTAGAACTATTAAGAATTGGCGGGGCAAAGAGATAAAAACTCCCCTTCTCTCTCCTTTTATACTCTGTGACAAGCCTGGGCTCGGGTCCTGCTGACTGGGATGTCCTTTTCATGTCTTTATGAAGTACTGCACTTGGGGCTCTAATATAAAGGGGAGGTTAATTGTTCAGGATGGGTCCAAATGATTGATTCTCCAGGTTTAAAAAAAAAATAAATTAATAAATAAAAAAATCTGAATATTTAAAACGAAATCCTGTCGCGGTGGTCGCCCTCGGAGGAGAGCGATGGTGGCGCACAACAAGTGTAAAGAAGGGCTGGGCTGGGGACCTGGATGAGAAACAGCCCAACTTGCCAGGCTGGAACATGATCTCATTCCACCTAAAAGTTTTCCACCTCAATAGTGCAAATTCCACTATAAAATAACAAAGTGTACCAAACCACATGTGAGTAGCTGTAGGAGTAAGAGAGCAAATTGGTTTCTGACAAAAGAAGAATGAATACCTTCGGATAATCTAAAGTTAAAATTTGATTGAAAGCATAACATTCCTCTAAGCATCAATATGCTTAGGATCCAAAATATGGTTATTTTATTACCAGTTAATACTTAGATCAAAGCAAAACACTGTAGCTGGAAGGGACATTCTCTCTGGAAATAAAGTTCCATGTAATTATTTCCTATTAAAAACTAAAACTGGTCTTAGATTCAAAAATTTGGGCTTCCTTACATGTGATATAATGCAAGCTTGTCAAGAGAGAGCAGATGTACCATTTTTCACTCTTTGCTGGTATCTCTTTGCTTTAAAGTTTTCGGTTTAGCTTTAACCCTTTGAAGGTGAAAGATTCTCATCCAATTTACCTCAATCAGACCAGGGGGGTTGTTTTGGATTAAATCAACTCATTTCTTATGTTAAAAAATCAGGATTTGATATGAGCTAACATCATTTTAAATAGAGCCTGCAAATGTAAGGAGGTGAAATCTAAAGAAAATGATATGGCGATGGGTAGGCAGCTGAAAGTTAAATATTAAATTGTAAACAAAGGTTTTACTCTTGGGCAAAACAGCTCATCTTAATTCAGTTCGAGACATGGAGTTTAAAATATGCACTCAAAATACTTCCAAGAAAGCTGCAACCTTTCAGAGGAGAGAGATAAGAATGTATTTTAATTATGAGGTTATAAATATGCGATAGATTTATTTTTTTTTACCAACTCCTAATGTGCTACGTAACATTGTTCAGATGCAGTTATACATTTATCTGTCTGTCTCTATTCCTGTCCAGGGTTTTGCTTTTATTTTATTCTTTCTCTTTTTTTTTTTTTTTTTCCCTCCTGATAGCTCAATCTCTATTTATGGCATCGTTGAGACAGGCCCTGGGAAAAAAAAAAGAATCTATCCTTCTGTATTTATAAACCACCACAGAATAAATAGGGAATGGTTCCTTTTTACAGCTGAAGGGCTGGTATTATAAGTAGCAATATGAAATATTTAGACACATTATTTCAAGCTTCCCGGCTGCTTGTGATTCTGCTAATTATTTTTGATCTGTCACTCAGAAATAAAAAAATAAATAAATAAAACTTTAAAGAGTTCATTAGGACTGCGAAAAGGAAGAAGAGTCAGATATAAGGCAGCAATTATAATTTGGTTTTAACATGTTTTTTTCATTTTTTGCTGACTCCTCAGCTACATTGTTTAGTAGAAGGATGGCTACAATATACTTCTACATTAAAGCCTGTTAAATAGGGAAGAAGCTGAGACATTCAGCTGGGATATTGTTTGCTAGCTCAATTAGCATCCCAAGAATTTGAAAGTACAATAAATGTATCTGAAGATCATATCTAAACATACTTACCAAAAAGTACCCACCTCTCTCAGCAGTTCACATATTTCTGCCTTCTAACTGGGAGGGAAAAAAAAAAAAAAGGAAAAAAGGCAGTTCGATGTGTAGGTTAAGACTGGCGTGTGGCAAGGTTTGTGTGAGATACAAAGAAATCTGTATTTCACTCAACAATTTCATTGCTTAAACATATAGTTTAGAAGCATCTTTTCCTTAAACATGTGGTTCAATAACATTTTCTTCAAAGGAACAACTCAGTGTGTTAAAAGATTTAAGAACAAAGAATGTGCTGCAAAATGCAAATTCCTCCAGTGTTACACTGTGTATGCAATTATGTATGTAGGCAGATAGATATAATTTGAGAGTTATTAACTTTCAACATCAATGATGTACCCTGAATCAATACAATGTAACTACCTATTAAAATATAAACCAGGTGTGTTCCCAGGCAAATACAGTCTGAGAAGCTTCTCTTGATTTTTTTTTTTTTTTCTTTAAAGATTACAGCTCTACTGTGGACAAGAAGCTCAAGAGATTGGTGCTGGTCCTAAAGATGGAGATTGGTTTGCTTTTTGCTGATGGTTCCAGAATGTTTCATTTCCTCCACGTTTAGGGGAAAAAAAAAATAATTTAAAATATTAAACAATATTGAAATGGCGTGAAGGGGATGAATTGCCTCCCAAACATCCGTACATTTATACATCTCCGGATGCATAGGAAAGACAAAAGTTCCCTATTTCCATATTTCCTTTGGCTGAAGGGAGGGAATGAAGGGAGCAGAAATCATTTTAAGCTTTGCCCTCCCGGCGGATCGACCCCTCTTGCAAATCCCTTTCTCCTGGCCGCCCTCCCTCGCTCCCCCGAGCACACAGCCCCGCGCAGTTAACCTTGGAGCGGCGCCGGGCAGGGAAGGGTTAATGAAACCCAGCTCTTTACGACCTCCAGGGTCAGACTCTTCCTATCTGCAATCTAAGGAATTAGGTAAGGAGGTTATAAGATTATAGTGAAAGGAGTTATAGGCCCTCGTAGCCTCACACCTGAACATATTGGGCTAATCCACTGGGATTCTTAAAAATCGCTTCAGCTATGGAAAACTGTTAATTAGGCTGGGTCTGTCCCGAGGTTTCCTGTTGCATTAGAGATCCAGCCGAGCTGCCTGCGCTCCATAGGCTCGCCTGAAACGCTCTTAGTGTGCCTAACTTTCTGTCCCTTCTGCACAGCTGAAATCAGCATCAGCCCCTGATTTCGGGGTTAAAAAAAAGCAAAGCTGGGGGAAAATTCAGCCCGGGAGATGAACAAAAGTCAACCCCCTCCGGTCCCTGAGCCCTGGGTGCCCGGCAGGCTATTTGCAGCTGTTTCTAACTTCAGTGTTTGTTTACAGTAGCAAAATTAGCACTTGGAGGAGAAGTGAAAAGCTGTTTTCACATCAGTTTTACTCCTCGGTTCCTAGCTTGTGATGCCTTTCCTCCCTCCCAGCAATCAGCATCATTTAAAGTGCGGTACAAACTTTCTCTCGCTGCTTTGACTTAGTTCTCTGCAGTCGCATCCTATTTTCTGCTGAAGAAAAATACGCGGAGAGAAGGTAGCATGTGAACACGGGCCAAACATCACGGATTCGAGGCAAAAAAATAATAACCATAATCCCGAGCATCCCCCCAGAACGCATTTCAATGTCGCATGGCAGAGCCCTGCCCTAGTCCCAGCTTTCTGCCCTTTGGCACTCAGATATTTGCTTGTCTCCAGCAAAGTTTTCTTTAATCCGCCGAGACACCCCAGGGCTGTACCTGAGCCACGGCTAAATTGCTCCCTACAACCGATAAAATCCTGCAGCAGCAACTCCCCAACTTCAATACTTAAAGCAAGGGCTGGTTTTAGCCATTTTGTCATTTGCAGAAATGCTGAATTTTTTTTTATTTTTTTAAATTTTTTTTCTGTGCCACTTGTGGTCACCCTCGAATGGCAGTAATCTGTAGATTACATATTACGAGCCTTGTCATTACGTGGATAAAATGAGGTGGTTAAACGCTAAAATCCATTTTACTCACCACATTTGCTTGTGGGGAGGGAGGGGGGCGGGAAGGAGAGGGGAGGACAAACTTGTAGGAGAAGGATTTAAACCCCTCGGATGGGAGCTGGATGTGCTGTCAGAGCCCTCTCTGCCTGGTGGGTACACGGGCTGGGCACCCCTCAACTTCACCTCCAAGGCAGGCGCCCGATCACTCCAGCCCTTCTCCCTCGCTCCTGAGCCTTTTGTCCCCATTTTCGTGGTATCTCAGCTTTGCTCCACAGAGGCGACTTTTCTCTGCCTCTCCTGGATTTGCTCTGTAGCATTTCTAGGCTCCTACTCTCCAGCTCTCCCCCCGTTTGCCTCTTTCATCTGTGTCCCTGATCCCTCTCCAGCTGATGCGATTCTTTAGAAATGTGGGTCTTATCCCGTCCCTACCTTTGCCGGCTCTGATTAGATATTATTTTTTCATTGGCTCTGCTACAATGGGTTCCTCCCTTTAATCTCTCGGTATATTTTCCCCCTCCCGGTATAACCAAATCCATGAAATTCACAGCCTCTCTCTTTGACACGACTGGTTCGTCTAATCACTCCATATCGATTTCCCTAACTCTTTTCATCCAGCTGAAGACACATTTTAAAACACTCCAAGCCAGAGTGTGCTCTTTGCTTTATACACACTAATAAAATGATTTACCCTTCTCTCTCTGCTCTCCTCACAGGAGAAAATCGTTCAAGTCGCGGCTATTTGTGTGTGATCAGTAAATATTTAGTGTGGCGACATCCTCAGCTCCTCTCCTGATCAATACGCAACCCAACAGGAGGTGGACTATTGTCCGGGTAGTGACTTGCTGAGATCTCCTTTAGATGAATTCTTTGCCCCCCATACCGTCTGTTATGATTTATCCTCGAAGGTGACCAATAAAGAAAAACCGAGTCTTTAAAACCGCCTGTTTCTAACCTGTTTACCGTGCCATTAAAGCACCTAAGCGAGGAATGGCTTATTCATCCCCGTCTCCCACATCCCTGGCATGGGCTGACACACGCAGGGCGCTGCTGGAAATCGGGGATCAGAGCGGGCAGAGCGCTGCTCTGCACCCCTGCACCCCTGTTCCCCCTGTTCCCCTGCAGGAAAACCCCGGCCGCTCTCTGCGCTGCGGTGTCACGGCACCGAGAGGGCGATTCCCTGCTCGCACCCACCCTGCAGCACCCTCGGGCACAGCTCAGCCTCAGCCCGTGCCAACGGTGTGCCCAGGGATGGAGGGTGCCCCAGCAACTTCCAGCCCGCCTCCCTCCTCCTCCTCATCGCATCCCGCGGCTCTGCCTGCCCCAGGAGCAGGCTGAGGCAGGGCTGCTGGGGGCTCAGTGCTTGGTTGGTTTGTTTGTTTGTCTGGGGTTTTTTGGTTTGGGGTGGTTGTTTTTTTTGAACGACGTGGAAAAGCTGCAGTGAAGGAAAATAATAATAATAATAATGATGGAAATGGAGAAGAGCTTTAAAGCCCGTTTCCTGTGGTTAACCATAACGAGAGCTTTCCCAGAGTGATAAAATGGGCAGCAGGAGAAGTTCGCGTGTGTGTGTGCGTGTGCTTTATCCTGATCTGCTCTTTCGCTCCTAGGAAAGCCAATGCCTCCCCTTGCAATCACCCCAGGAGTGGCTGTGCCCGCCGAGATGTCCGAGGCAGCAGTGCCTGCTGCGTGGGTGCCTGTCTGATGCAGGCTAGGTGCCTCCACACAATGGCCACCCAGTGATCTCTGCATCGCCTCTGTGTGCTCACTCACACCATGCCCTGCAGCCCACAGAGGTGCCCAGATATTTATTTTATCCCCGTGCGTGTGCGTTTGCACCTCAGCTCTAGGTCGGAGGCGTTTATCTCTGCAAATGGACATTGCCTGCACAGGCGCTGCATAAATCCAGGGCTGTGTATTACAGATGTGCGACTGTTATTCAAATGTAAAACCAGCTACATCCACCTGTTAACTTTGTTTAGAAACCACTTTCACTAATGGCTTTTCTCTAACTTATTCAGCCCGTTACTCGAGTATAGGAGGCAATGGAGGGGAAAAATCCATATGAAACCCTGCTCACAGCCTCTCTTCGAGAGGACACTTTCCACACCTTGCCTAGACAGGGCTCCTATAGAGCGCTTATCTCTCGAATATATCTTTATACTAATGCATACTTAATTGGTCTGTCTTGACTGTCCATATAAAACAATTTAATTAGGGTGCTTTCTGCTTTGGAAAGAAAGAAAAAAAAAATCTGCCCAGCATTTATTGTATTTAGCACCAATACAGGCAGAAAATGTTGCACAAGTTTTTGGTTGAAAGAGCACCTATGTGTCCATTGAAGGGCGTTGATCCGAAAAGACAGAGAGGACAAGTAAAATCGATTTGAAGCAACCCTCTCTGTCCCTTTCACACCATTCAGACACTCCATTCCTTCTAAGACAAAGACCCAGCGCCTTGGGAATGCTGGCAAGGCGGGGGGGGAGGGGGGGGGAAGGAAGAAAAAAGGAAAAAAAGAGGGGAGGGAAAAAAAAAAAAGGGAAAAAAGCTTCAATCCCCCCAAGCGAAAGGGAGAGCTCTGAAATTCCTTCATATTGCTGTTATTTACCCCCGAAGATATGTTCAACTCCAGGATTTTCTTCAATTCGGCGTCTAACACTGCTGCTGCGAGGAATGTCCCTGGAAGGGGAGGAGGTAATTATGGCTATTAGTGCTGCGAGCCCAGCCGCAACCTTGGTCACTCGCAGGCTTTTAGGGTTAAAATAGCCCTCACCTCTGACCCCTGCGGAGCAAAGTTGTAGCTATTGCCACAAGTTGGGCCAAAGTTTTCAAATCCAGGGCTGGGCAACACCGGAGGGGGCAAACTTCTCCCTGGAATTATTTTTGGTTGGGATTTAAATCATCTTTAGTCTATTTAATTGCCTTTCCCTCCTCCTTTGGCCAAATAATCCCTTTCGGAGAGGTGGGGGGGATTTCAAAACGCCCTGCTCTCACTACCTTTCCCACTGCTCTTTCCATTTAGGTTTAATTTGGCAGATTGTTTTCAAGCATGAAAATGGTTATCATCAAACTGAATTACTGGGTCAGCCTTTCATCCAGAGATCTCAAGAATAAAAGGGGGGGTTGGGGGGGGGGGTCTGGCAGGGGTACCCCCCCCCCCCCTCCTTTAGGCTTTCCCCGCCATGACCCGTTCAGCTTTACAAAAAAATTTTAAAAAGGAACATTTGGAAAAATGAAGAAAGGACAAAAAGCTTGGATTTGTCTCCTGTGCTTTCTGCACACCTTCACGATCCTCCTCTGCAAGGGGGGATTTTGGAAGGGGGGGCGGGGGGGGGCTCAAATTGAGGAGGAGAGGGAGCCCACAGATGCAAGTACCCCTCTGGCAATAATAAAAATTCATTCAAGTGGGCTATGTCTCCATCTTCCATGTACTGATTAGACTTAACAAGAGTGGAAACTTGTGTAGACCATATTTATGGTATTAACAAGCAGTTAAAAGATTTATCCTTCTTCTGATCAATATTGTTCGTGGCCGGTCCTTCCCCCCCACCCCCGGGCCCTCCCCGAAGGCTGCAATGACAATCGCCTTCATACTTTTTCATCACCGATCGAGGTGGCAAAACCCTTTTGTAATTTTCATTAGCCCAGTAAACATGCAATTAACATGCAGCACTGTGGTTAACTTAATTCCTGTTTTAAGGCAAGGACAAGCAAGAAATGGAAGAGCGTTTGTTCCATTTGTCAAGTATGACACACTCCCTACCCTAACAGTTTCTTAAAATAAAAGCTCGGCTCCCCACCACCACGACCACCACCCCTCTTTCCAGAAACCCCCCACACTGATACACACACACACACAAAAAGGAGCAGGAATCCATTAGTTGGAGAGTATTCTCCTGCCAAAGGCGGTATAATGTATTCCAAATTTTCCCAAGCCCTCACTGTACCGGGGTCCCGTTCCCCCCACTCCCCCCTCCCATCCCGAGGAAGGGGGCTGACTCGCTGATATTTCTCGTGGGTGAAAGATTCAGCCTTTTCCTAACCGTATTTTTTTTTTAATTTAAATAAAATAAAACTAAACGTGCTTCCCATGACTAAAAGTTGCCATGTTTGTGAAGGGGGTGGGGAAAAATGTCTCCAAGGGTTTCAATTAGCAACAAATGATTATTGCAACGGATTTTTGGTAATGAAAAAATGTGGAGTACCTCTTTCGAGCTGGGATCTCAGGGGCAGTGAGAGAGAGAGAGAGAGGGGGAGAGGGAGAGAAGGAGAGAGAGAGAAAGAGATTGCTGATTAGCTCGGATTCTTTCCCAACTTGCTTTAGCGTGTGCTTGCGTTCCCTGCCGACCCTACACAGGACACTATATATTTTTTCCCCTTCGGTGCATGTGTTGATAGTCCAGCCTGTAGTTGTTTGCGGTTGGCTTTTTTTTTTCCTTTTCGTTTTTTTTTTTTTTTTTCCTGCCGGGGAGGGGGGAGGTGGGAAAGGGGGGGAGGGGGGGCTGAAATCCGTCGCATCCATCCTACCCCCACAGTCATTAACTTAGGAGATTTCCCTCTCTTATTTTTTTTTTTCTCCCCAATTGGAAGGGTGGGTTGTGAATATTTTTCCCCCTTTTTTTTTTCTAATTTTTTTTTTTTTAAAGTCTCGCCTTTCCAGCTCCAAACAAGGTGTAGCGAGACGCTCTTCCTTCTAAGGAATGAAATGAGACAAGGATCACTCAAAGACATCTCCTACCTTGGGCTTGGGGATTTTTTCTTAAAGGCAAGGCGCACATTCCTAAGCAGCTGTGTACAAAGCCCCCCCTGAAATCTTGTCTGTGTAAAGTTAGAGTGTGTTCAGGGTGTTTTTTTTTTTTTCCTCTCTCTCCCAAGGCTGATCGCTAATAATACATCGAAAGCACTTCCCTTTAGGTTGTGGGAAATCTATTCCCTTCACCTTGCTTCCTTTTTTTCCCCCCCTGAAGGCTGTAACTTTACTTTTTTTTTCTCTCTCTCTCTCTTTTTTTTTTTTTTAATCAGTTTGCACAATCGCTTAGATAAACACCAAGAAGGAGACTTCTCTTTTAATTACCCAACGCACATCTTTCTGGGGGGCAAACAGCGGTCTGAATTTTTTTTTTATTTGTTTGTTTCACCTGCCAAACTAAAGGAGAGGTAGAAAAAGGAAGATGCAAGCGATTTGGGACCTTGAACAAGGCAAATATGGTTTTGGTATGTTTACTTATAGTTTTTTTTCTTCTTCTTTGACACTTTTTTCGGGCAATGTGTTGTGATTCTTGTGTTTCTCTTTTAAGGAAAACAAAAAATCCAAAAAAGCAAATGTTAGCTAACGTGCGTCTTAAACGATCGTTTCTAAGGTTACGTGGGTTGCTCTAAGGAGGGGAAGAGGGGAGGGGGGCAGACCCAAGTATGTGTAATTGCAGCACCATCAGTTAGCACGTCCTTTAGCTAAATAAAGCAAAAGCAGCAAACAAACAAACAAGCGAACAAACCCAAGGACCGGAGCCGCTTTCCAGGTCCGAGGCAAAGCGCCTCCGAGTCATTTCCCCGGGAGCAGCGCCCGCTGCCCTGCCCGGCGCCGGGGCTGCTCGGGCGGAGCGCGGACCGACCTGCTCCGGAGGGTGGGAGGGCAGGACGAGGCTCTGAACTTAAGTGAGAGGTGTTAAACTGCCCGCGATCGCGTCGCTGTGTGCGGCTGGCAGCGTTTATTTGGGGTGGGGGGGAAGGAAAAAAAAAGAAAGAAAGGAAAAAAAAAAAAAAAAAAAAAAAAAAAAAGGTCGGTGGTGAAGGTAGAGAGCCGAGATCCCCTCTCCCCCTCCGGTCGCTTCCCTGGCTAAGCAAGTACAATGGAAAGAAGCTGGAATATACTCACCATCCGAAGGTGTGGTTGGCAGTTCGGCTGAGGCTTTAAGGCAATTATTTATCCTTTTTTTTTTTTTTTTAAGTATTATTGCAAAAGACGTAGATCTGACTTTAGGCAGCAGAAGTGTTTTGCTCTGACAACAGCAAGCGAGGCTCGGATCCTCGTTAAAAAAAAAAAAAAATCACAAAACAGGATCTCCCCCCCCCCCCTCCCAATCCCTTACCACTATCCCTTAAAAATACCTATTCGGCACAGCTCTCGCAGAAACCCTGATGCAGAAATCTTATAGTCCGGTCTAGGAGTGCCCAAGCCAATTAATTTTAAATCCTTAGGAATTAATCAGATTAAAATGTACAGAAGTTTCATTCTCGTATGCATACGTGAGCCAAAAGTCGTTTCCCTTTAAGAGATCCTTTTCTTTTAAAGTTGAATTTTAGGCAGATAAGAGACTTACACTAGGGGGCAGCCAGATACTGTACTTGCTCCAATCTTAAGCAATTTTTTTTCCTCTCTCACAGCATATGCTCTGATTTAGCACTGTAAATTTTTCAGAGGACCCAACTCTGACAGCCCCTGGTGATTTTCAAAGTACCACAAGCCAGTGGTTAAAAATTGCATTGACTTGGAAGTTCAGAGGCACACAATAGGAGCCACTTTCCCTATTCATGGAACTTCAGTGTGGTGGAAGAGAAAAACACACACATACTACATTGAGGGAGAAGAGGAATTCATTGAATTCTGTTAGACGTAACTGCTTTCCACTGAGTTCAGAGCGAAACTCGGTATTTGTTCGATGCTGTATTCATATTGCGATTTAATCTAGAAAGAATTAGAGGACTGTTAGGCAGCTTTCTGCCAGCAAAGCAGCTTCCCCCTCCTTCCTCCTCTCTTTTTGAAACCTAAAGATTTACACCGGCTCTATCCCCAACTCAATTTTAGCAAAATAAATCCTTCCACTCCCTCTCATTAAAATAAATTTACATCTGCAGTAAAATGGCAGGAGGGATGCGTTTGTTTATTTGGAAAACCAACACGGTCTCACTTTTAAACCAGAGCATTTCTATTGTCATTAAGCCTCGGAGAAGGACAGTGGAGAATCTCCCCCTTCCTTGCGAAGCGCTCAGGTTTTGAGGATTATTTAGCGAAATTAGCTGCAGTTCATTTTTACATTCATCTCCTCTGTCTCAACCCACTCGCAGGGGTGTTTTCAAATAAATAGCAAAGCATCTAATGGTGCTAATAGATAGTTATATCGCTGCATCCTTCGAAGAGCAAATAGTTAATCTAAGGCATTCTTCATTAATGCTTGAGCAATCAGCGTATACGGCGGCTTTTAAGCGTATATCAATGGTTTTTCATTTTTACGATCATACGTTCAAACTATTAATATTGTGCGTCCTGTTAAAACCGCTTTCTCTTCTGATTTCTGCATTTGTTAGGACGGCGTTTATGTTTTTTCATATGGTGAATTAATCCTGTTTACTTTGTCAGATTCGAGACAGGAAAGGTTGGTGTTGGGTTGTGGTTTGGGTTTTGGCTTTTATTTTTTTCCTCAGGAAACCCAACATCAGCAACAATCTGTGGCTATTCTGCATTTTGAACCCCCACCTTCTCCTACCCTCCCCGAAAGGTCACCTCCTCAGCTCTGGCTTCTTTGGAAATCATAAGGCAGTTCCCCACATTTTAACCTGGAAAGATTCCTTCCCCACTTTCTGTCTTCCCAGTCCCTCCTGGCCACTGCTTCGGGTAAAGGTTATTTTTTTGCTCCGTGAGGATCAATGGGAACGCTGCAGCCTTGTCTTTGAAATTGAGTCGCAAAAACCTCTTTGCCCGTGGGGTCTGAACACGCCAGGTTTCCCGGCAGGACACTCTCAAGTCGAGGTGCTTTTTACAACTTTCCAACCATCCCCGCACCTGCGGCTTTAGCCACACGTTTTATTTCTGCGGCAGAAGTGTGTGGGCATGTGGCAACATGAAAAAGTGTGTGTGTGAGGAGGTGAGGGGCAATTAATCCCTTACAGAGTTGTGCCCAGCTCTGTGTCCCCGCGGCCGTGCTTGGTGAGCGGCTGGGATGTGAGCGCTCACAGACGCGTGTGTTCGCAGAGGAGGAACGGTCCGGCCGGGCATTTATCTGTCTATGTTAATATGTTTTCTATTTTATCTCTCCGTCCCTTCGCTTGTTCGAGTGTCTTTTGGCCATTTTCACCGGGAGACGGACTCGAGTCTCCGCTCCGCTGGCCGGTAGCTCCCTTCAGCGGGAAATAAACACGTCCCCGTGCTTAGCTCTGTTACCTGCTCGTGGTACAGAACGGAGGTCGCGTTACAGAGTCGGGGTGCGTGCGGTCACGAAACCCCCGAACCCGCAAAACCCAGATATAAAGTTAAAGGGGTTGAGGCGAGCCACGCCGTGGCGATGCCGTGCGGAAGGCACGGCTGTCACGCTCTGCGGAGCGCCGTGCCGGGCTCCGGAGCTGTCTGCAGCGGAGCCGCGCTCCCCTCGCTTCGGGGCGAGCGGGACCCAGGAGCGCTCGGGCGGAGCGGCGGAGCCCCCGCGCCCCGCCGGGGCCGGGCTGTGCGAGCGGCCGCTGCCGGAGCGCGGGGCGCGCTCAGCTCGGCGCGGCTCAGCGCAGCCCGGCCGGGCTCGGCGCGGCTCCGCGGGCGGCCGGGACTCGGCCCGGCTCGGGAGGGCGGCGGGACACGGGGCGGCCGCGCCGAGCGCAGGTGCCCGGAGCGGGGCCGGGGGGGCTCCGCCGTGAGACCCCCGGCGGGCGCCAGCCCGCACTGCGCTCCCCGAGCGCTTTCGGACAACCCGCGGCCGCCCCTTCCCCGCAGCGGCGGCGGCAGCGGCGCCGGGGCTCGGCTTTACTTTATTCCGTGGAGTTTTACCTCGGTTTAGCGCCTGCTTTCCGCTTTGCACCCGGCCGCCCCCTCCGACCCCGGAGGCCGTGCCCCGACGGGCAGCCCCAGGTGAGGCGGCGGCGGCGGCGGCGGGGCCCCGCTCCGCACGCCGGGCTCGCCCTCACCCCTGGCCCCGGCGGGGCGTGAGGGCGCGGGGCGGCGGGCGCGGGGCGGCGGGCGGCGCTAGGACCGCGCGGGCGGCGGCGGCGGCCATGGCGGGCCGCGCAAGGGCGGCGCGGGCCAATGAGGGCCGGGGGGCGGGGCGCGCGCTCCTGGCCACTCAGGCGCCGGCCCGGTTGCCTTATAAGGCGCGCGGTCGCCATGGCGACGCGCGCTGAGTTGCAGCAGCCGTGTCAAAGTTCACTCTCCCGCCAGCGGGGCGAGCGGCCGGCGGGGAGCGCGCTCGCCGCTCCTCGGCCCACACGCCGCCCGCACCGCCCGCCCGCCCCGCCCCGCGCCGCCCCTCCCCGCCGCCGCTAGGGGAGGGGAGCGGGGGGGAGCCCCTGCTTCTTTTTATTTTGGGGCGGGGGGGGGGGGGGAGCGCTGGCGCGCTCTCCCCGTGGTGATTTTTTTCCCCTCCTCCCTCCCTCCCCGGCTGAGGAGCGATGCTGCGCGCTGGGTTATGATCCTTCCCTCTCTCTCTCTCTCTCTCTCTCTCCCTCTCCCTCCTCCTCCTCCTCCTCTCCTCCTCCTCCTCCTCCTCCTCCTCCTCCTCCTCCTCCCGCTCCCCTCTTTTATCATCCTGGCTGGCTGGGCGCTGCTGCGCTGGCGAGTTGACTCCTTCCCTCCCCCCCGCCCCGCGGCCCCCCTCCCCCTGCCCGCGCCGTGAGCACCGGCGGCGCGGAGGCGAGAGCCCACTTGCGAGGCGGCAGAAGCAGCATAAGGCAGCGCGGCGGCGGCGGCAGCGGCGGCGGGAGCGGCGGCGGCGGGAGCGGCGGCAGCGGCACCCGAGCGGCGGCGGGAGCGGGAGCGGCGGCGGGGACGCGGCGCGGCGGGAGCGGCGAACCGGCGGAACGGGGCAGAGCGGAGCAGAGCGGCGGCGCCGGAGAGGAGGAGGAGGAGGAACAAATAAACAATCATAATAATAATTCATAATAATCGTAACGATCATAAGAATTTTTTTATAAAACAAAAAAAAAAAAAAAGAGAGAGAGCGAGGAGGAGGAAAAAAAAAAGCCAACAGCCCCCCCACACCCCCGAGCCCAAAAGAGGGAGCGAGAGAGAGCAAGAGCGCAGCGGCCGGGCGGAGCGGCGGAGAGGAAGAATTAAAGCGAGCGAAGGAGGGAGGAGAGACAGAGCAGAGAGAGAGGAGGAAAGAGGAGGAGGAGGAAAAAAAAAAAGCCCACAAAAACAAAGCGATCGCAGTTGATGTTGCTGCTGCAAGCTGGACTTCCAAAAACTACGGCGAGACCGACCGCTCTCCGCGCCGAGAAGAGTCTCCTCCGCTGTGCGTGTTTTTTTCCGCTGTGTGTGTAATCTTTAACCTTTTATTCATTCTTATTTTGATGGCTTTCCTGAATGGCTGACTGCGAGCTTCCCTGGACCTGGCCCCCAGACACCCGCCTCTCCTCCTTCAACTACTCTGCTGCAGATCAGCTCTAAGAGAGAGAGAGGGAGATCTTTGAAGAGATTTTTTTTTTTTTTCTCCTCTCTCTCTCTCTCTCTCTCTCCCCCTCTCTCCCCCACCCCCACCACCCCTTTACTTTGCTCTCCTGGAGCCCAGACAATCGACTCGCACCTCGCCCCCCCGCACACACACCTCCATCGCCCCGTGCTTCTGCACCTTCGCCGGTACCGGGAGATCCCCCCCACCCCGACCCTCCTGAAAAAAAAAAAAAAAAAAAAAAAGGCAAAACAACAAAAGAGAGAGAGGGAAAGAGAGAGAGAGAGAGAGGGGAGGACAAAAAAATAAAAAGACTGCTGCAAAGCTGATCTGAAAAGCAAAGCAAACAAACTTTGAAAATAAAGGGGGAACAGGAAGTTTGGCAACGGTGTCCAATAGATATGGCAATGGTAGTCGGTGCGTGGCGAGACCCCCAGGACGATGTGCCCGGAGCTCAGGGAACGCAGCCTTCGCAAGCCCCGCCGGTGCAGGGACCCCCGGCCGGGGCCCCGCACACCCCACAGACCCCGGGGCCCGGGGGCCCTCCCAGTA